TCACAGGAAATTAATTAACAATCATTAACATCGCATGCGATGTTATCCTCACAAGGGCCAGCCCGGACATAATGGCGGCGCCGATAACACAATATCGGCCATTAGAGACAAGTGCCTGCGTCCTCCTCCCACCTCGCCCCCCTTGTGTCCCCGCGGGAAAAGGCTTCGGTTTCGGACCGCGCCTGAAAAAAAGTCCCGAGTCATTGGGCATTGTTCGATTGAAGCCAGAAATATAATCTCGATTCTTTAACTAATAATCTATCATCTGCGGTTCATGCGCAGCTTCACATTATTGTGCCGAAGCGGACGTCGGCGCGCCGAAAAGGAAACTCTCAGGGCCAACAGTTTTTCCGCTACAGCGCAGCGTTAAAGGAGCTAATGAAATAAATGTTCGCTCACACCTGCAACGCTGCGCGGTTAATGCGCGCATGCACGCCGCCGATGGCGCTTCAAGCAGTGGCAAAAATGCAGGGCATTCCTTGCTTCATTACTCTGCAGCAGGAAAGTCTTCACCCTTTCAGGCCAACCAATGGCCAAGAAATGGGACAGGAGACTGCAGGTCTATTGCCGTGCGTGTCACAATCGCCACCGACTGAGATTGTACAGGAAATATATGAAGTGTGTATCGAAGAGAAAGTTTTTCTGTAAACGCTACAAATTGAGCGCAATCAAGAAAATTAATATATGTCCGTATAATGTTTTCTTTATTTTAATAAACGCTTAAAAATCCTACATACTCCATATCCAATACATACACGGTGGTAATTAGAATTATAATTTTGAGAACCAACGAATCGTACGTGATGTTGTTCCATGATCAGTCTTGCGAAAAAGTCAATTACAAATGGAAGTAACAGCGGTAAACTGAAAATGAAGAATTCCATGTTAATTTCAAAATAAAACAGATACGCTCTCCGTAATTCAATTTCGCTGTTAACAATACAGTGTATTAGCAGGTCCAATTGAAGCACTATACGAGGGTTTCGTGTTTCACAGTAGGTCAGGGAAACCTTTTTTGTCGTTTATTTACTCAGTGGGGTGGAATCTCGGCATTTTAAAACGAGGGTGTGTCTCCCAAATTGGGAATGAACTTGACAATGAAAAATCGTTGATTCCCCCTCTCGATGAGAAATTGGAGTGATAGATGAAAAACTGCTAAATTACTCATGTAACCAAAACTTTCATGTTCTGGCTCAACATTAATCGTAGGGAAAGTTTGTATTGTAGTTAAGAAGGTACTTCATTTACTATTATTTTCCCATTTTTTAACGCGTAGGAAATTCGTTTTCTCCGTGCATTCACCACTCGAGTATAATGAATTCCCTTTGAACAATGGAACTGAATAGTGGTTTCCAACGCATCAACCCTACATATGCACCAAGCAAACGTCTGTAATCGACACCCATCGAAAAATCCGCATCGCGAGCTCTACAGTCGTGAAAATTGTCGCACATTCACTGATGGTCTATCGTGCGGATTCAATTAACTTGCAATCATGAGCCATTTGTGCAGTAAAATAAGTACTGTAACTGCAAATAGAGTTTGTAACACAATTATTGATCGAGATTTTATAGTGATTGTATCCGAGACACATTTGTTTAAAATGTCGTTATCAAGCAATGTTTGAATCAACACTCTTCAATGCAATGGAAAAATACGTTTAAATAAAGTGTGTATATAAATACTTACAAGATGAAAAATACAACGCAGTCATTTTTAAATGAGATGTTCATTTGATTCGCTAGATGGACTTCATTGTACTTAAGTTTTGTTCAAATTAAATTTAAAGCATTTCCATAATTCAGAATGTAAGAAGATATAAGGACAAATTTGTAAAAGGTCTATAAAAACTAAAATAGTTTTGAAACTTTCATAACTTATTTTGTAATCTTGGAACATAATTTATGGAACACGAAAGTGAAATAAGATTTTATGTGCAATTAGGATAAGTTGATTACAAATTTCAAGAAAACAAATTAGACATACCTTTACATACAGTTATTTTAAACTGTTATTACTGATGAATATATTGCGTTAAGAATTGGTTTTGACCATCTCTAGATTCAATAATGGAAATGTTGGAGATGTAAACAAAATTGAATTTTTGGAATTTTCGAAAATCCTGAAATTTTAATGAAAAATAGACTTGTATGTGGAAACAACCTTGAGGAAATCTCAGCCAAACCTATAAATCTGTAGCCCCGCGAACACCACCGCGCTCCAATTCCAAAGTGGCGCCGGGGCGTTACCGCGGTTTGACAGTGGGGCAAGGAAAGGCAACGCACGAGGGAGATGCCAACGTCTGCGCGCAGCGTCTTCGCGAGCGGACGCCCTCTCCCCACCTCCCCTCACCCCAACATGCGCCACCTCCTCGCCAGGCGCCTCGCGGTTACATGCTCAATTGAAGCAACGCCTCCCCCCCCCGCGCCACGCCCCCCTCATCGACGGCCATCCACGGAATTTCATATCCCGTCTGCCCACCGCGCCTACCCGCACCCCTTGCCCGCCGCCCGCCCCTGCCCACGGGAATCTAATAAGACCGATGCCCCGCATTCAACCCCGGGGAAACCACATTTAAGTCGCCTGCGACGCGGGGTGTCGGCGGCGGCGGTCAGACGCGCCGGCACGGCCCGCGGCGAAGTCTAGCAGTAATAGAGGAGGCGCGAACCCCGGGCCGGTGGCGCGCGCCGCATCACCCGAAACGGGAGACGGGGGGGGGGGGTTGGGAAGGCGATCCTCGCCCCACGTCGCTGTCACTCGCGCCCGCAAGACCACTCCGCCCCCGCATGTCAACGCCAGAGACTGTGCTTTCGTTACTTTGGTCCACTCATGCCCGTGTTTCCGTGCCCTCACCGGGAGTGGCAACTGTTTCATACTTAAAACACCATTTTAAACCGTTTTCCGACACGCTCTATTGTAAGTAGCTGCGTTATTTTGCGCAGCAAGCACAAAGCTTTTCAATGATCTTTTATTTTCAAGACGTTCTTGAACCGGCTCTTCCCAAATTCGCGCAATGTTAATTTCGCCGAATATAATGTGTTTATGTCGCATGAAGCCCAAAAGTGGTTTTAGAAGTATAAAGCAACTCCACAATGTTTATAAAACTCCTGCACAAAATTACGGCAACGTCTACTGCATCTATTAATTGATTATACATCTGACGTAAATTCACCAAACCACCAGCTATTGGTGTCATCTGCTCCCAGTTTCCCAGTATTTCCACCTCGGTATATTCTCGTTGACTGCGTTTAATCATTTTTCTTCCTTTCGGAAAACCATCCCAACTGCAGCTCGAATGTAAACTCATTAAATTCACGGTCTTCCGTCTTCAGGTGCTGCTATCGCGCCACCAAGCATACCTGATTCACTTTGTCTACTCGTACCACTAACAACCTGAGTGTCCATTAATTGTGCCCTTCTCACATCGTCTCATCTAACTCCATATCAGTCAAACGTAATATCATGTAGTATCTTTCACCCTTCGAAATTTTTTTCATCTGTGCAGCTGATTTCGATATGGCTTCAGTATTTGCCCTCATCAGTTATTTCTTGAAGAGCTTTGGTAGACTTTTCATTTCATTGACAAAAATCTTTTCCCTTCATCACCCCTTTTCCCTATTTCTCGTCCACTCTTCTTGAGAAGTTTGATTTTGATTCGTTAACATTTCGCCAATGGTTTCAGACTGTTCTGTCGCCTGTATTCGCTTTCCTCCGATTTCGACGAGTTTGACAGCTGCTCCCTACCAGCCTCCCGCCTCCGCCTACAGACTCGCGTCCCTTTATCACTTCCGCGTTCCGGCATCCTTGCCGCTCTCCGCGCGAGACGCGCATTTCGGCACACGGCAGTGTTGTATCGACCCCGGTGCGTAAGCGCCTTTGCTAGGGGTGGCTGAATCCCAAGATAGATTAGAAACAGCATCGTGCGCGACAGCAGATTGAGGATTAGGGATAAAAATTGAAAAAAAGGCGCCGCTCCCCGCTTCGACTAACATTGAAGGCCGCGTAAAATATAAGCTTGAAAAAACATTTTGTATTTCTGCGGCGCGGCTTAGTGCGCGGGCTCGGCGGCACTGCGTCGCTCAGTGCTTCTTCCCCCTCGTTCAGGACGCCGTCTTCGCTCGCCTTCTCCTCTGCCTTTGCCCCGCCCCACCCCGCCCGGCCCGCGCGCCACCCTCCGCGGCCCACACTCTCGCGCTCGTCTAATATGGATTTCTACGTTAAAACGCGGGGAATCGTCTTATAGCGTCCGCGACGACTGCGGCAAGTTGCGGGCGGACGGGTGGCGGCAACGCGAGGAGTGGGCGGGGGCGAGATGAGCGATTAGGTGGGGGCAAACCGACGGAAGCGCGGGGAACCCTACCAAAGACTTTTTAAAAAGGGAACCTTTCTCAATTGCGGACGGCGTGTTCACTGCCAGAGTCAAGCAGACGGGCGGCGCGGGTGGCGCAGGGCCGGCAGAAGGTCGCGGGGGGCGGGGTGACTAGCGCGGAAGGGTCAGGAATCAATCATTATTACGACGCTGCGCCCCCAGCTCCCCAATGAGTGTGAAAAAGGTACGAGCTGGCCTAGAGCGTGCGAGTCTACGGTGAGGCGTCCGTGCGCCTGATTCTCTCGTCATGCGAGAAGCCGCATCAGTCCAGTCCCTAGACAAGCACCTCCCTAACTCCACCACGTCGCTGCAGTCCAGCTCACTCATAACTAGAACACCGTCAGCTTCCCTAACGAAATCAATCAGTTTCCACCGCCGTCCTTGAGGCCACCGATGCCGGGGTGTTGGTGTGTGCAGCTTCAGATATAGAGTCACACGCCATACTGAGCCGAGCTCAGTATATGCTAGAAATACAGGTACCGATGCACAAAGCGCAAGCCGAGGAAGTCGTAGCGAGGCCTCCGGCACAACCGTATCGCAACCTGAGGTATAGCTCTATGCTGAATAATAATCATTATATGAGTCACTGCCTCAACATATCTCTCAAATACACTCGATACATGTCGCGCGTCTAATACGACTGGCCTGAGACCGGTCGGAGGCGTCGGGAGCAGCTGTTGGACGGCGGGGGCCGGGGCGGGGGCGCCGGGCGCGGGGGCGGCCCGGGCGGCGGCGGGGCGGCGGGGCGGCGGTGCGGGCGGCGGGCGGCGGGCGCGGGGGCGGCGGGGGCGGCGGCGCCGGCGGCGGGCGGCGGCGGGGGCGGCGGGGGCGGCGGGGCGGCGGGGCGGGCGGGGGCGCGGCGGGGCGGGCTGGGCGGCGGCAGGAGGTAGAGGGGGCGCGACACGCCGCCGCCTCGAATTCCGCGCCGCCCCCGGAGAGCAGCGCTTTGGCTGCGGCAGAGATGATCCGCGGTTTCGAGAAGAAGGCGGCGGCGGCGCCGAGAACGCGCCGGGGAAAGGGACTGCGGAGGAAAGCCAAAGCGCCGACGAGGAGGGCGGCCGGCGAGCGCGCGGAAGAAGCGGAGGAAAGCCGCGCAGAAGTTGAAGGATGGCGCCGCAGGAAGCCGGCGGAGACCTCTGCTTCCGGAGAAACGCCGCGGAAGGGACAGCGGATACTCGAGGATGTCCGATGGGGCGCGAGTCCCTCCCCCTCGCCCCCGATGTCGAAGAGGAGCGTGGGGCGCTGGGTAAGAGGATAAGGAAAATCAACGGAATATATCCTCTGAAATACGAGAACCTGAAGTTCCGACGGCTCGGAAAGTCTAAAAATGAAGATTGCTCGAAATATCTCAAAATAGCTGATGGAAAAGGAAGGTAAAGAGTTGTCGTGAGGCAGGCGATGCATTAAGCTTCCCATTCAGACCCTAACTTCGAGATATACCTAGGTTTGGGGCATCCAAGAATAAGTTGTTTTCTATTTTCCATGAGAGCGCTCTACAAAGAAAAGTGAAATATCAAAGCTAAGTACTCCCGTCCCAGTTTTCGTGATTTTTCTAGCCGTTACGTATTAAAGCAAAACCTAAAAAGGGAATTGATTGGCGTATGATTTTCTTTTATAATATGTTTTTGCAGATCTCAGGAAAGCTCTGAATCCATTAGCTGTTTACTCCACAAACGCGCCCCTCCCAACCGAATGCGTTCTATGCCGAGCCTGAATCGGACAGCGGCACCTAGCAGCAGGGGACACGCGTGCGTGGGCCCTGGCAGGAAAAACAGGCTCGTGGCCAGGGGAGAGGTTGTCGCCAGGCGCGGAAGTCGCAATGAAGACGAACGGCGGGGAGATAGCCCGGCGGAGGCGGCGGCGCGCGTGGGTGGCCTGTGGGGGCGGCGGGGGCGGAGCGCGTTAAGGAAGGCACGCTTCCGCTGCCCACTCCCGCTCCGTCCCCTCACGGCTCACTCTGACCTCAAATTTCCCCCCGCTCCCGCCCGCGGCCGGCACACAATCGGCCCACCCCTACACCGCTCGTAATTCGTCGACGAAGAAATTGTTCCCGAAGACTCACGCTGGGCCTGCTCCTATGCCCTATGCTAACTCATTGTTCGGATTACGACAGATATTTTCAATATCGCTGATATATACTTCAGGAAGTTCTGGGGGAATGAAAATGAGAAAATCGAGATGAAGTGCCTTTAAAAAGGAAGTAAAAGAAAAAAAATCCCGATGTGTTTGTAACGCGAGTTATTGAAAGTCGGGAAACTGAACGATAACAATGGCTCGGCAAGAATGACGAAAACAGAAGACGGGAAAATGAGTAGGAAGAGAAGAAAGGGAAGGCACAAGAACTAAGAAAGGTAAGGACAAAAGGAGACATGGAAGTCACAGAAGGGGACGCAGAAACAATCAGGGCGTTACATAGCGCATCCTGCCGTCCGTACGAACACATTGTTCCGCTCGGCCTTTGAACTCCGCAGGAAACCATTTGTAAAAGCCAGCGGTGCAGGTTTTTCCTTTGGGCAAATTAAAAGTATTTAATTAATTCGCGTCCGTTCCTCGGCGCTGCCGCCGCCGCCGCCGTAGCCTCTTGTTATTCATTGACCGCACTAACACGGAGTCTCATTCGTCAATCAAAGGGCCGACTCTGCAATCGGCGGCCTGTCCCACTAACCGCGTCGACATGAATTTCCCTGATCGGAATCTCCGACTGAATAATACAGTCGAGGCAGGCCGGCACTTTCCAGTCGGTCGACGGAATTGGGAACCGATAGGACTGCAATCGATAGTTCCGTACACAGGCACACGCGAAATACACTGTGCACGGCGCTTGCACTCCGAAACAATAAAATCGCTGGAAGCAAAGGGCGGAAGGGGGTGCACACGGTGGGGAGGGGTACGTGGCAGGCGGTTGTGCCTGGAGCGTGGCCCTCGGGGGGCGGGGGTAGGTTGAGGGCGGCGGTCGCGGTCAGCGCCTCGCAAACGCGGCCTCGCTGATCCTACGTCCCCGTCGGCCGTTTTCTGCGAAATAGATATTCCATCCGCATCGAAGTTGCCGGCCATATTGTCACAACGATTCCACACCAGCTCTTCAACTGATCCTCCTTTTAACATCCGTTTCGATTATGATATGGAAATGTTTCTGGAATCAAAAACTCACCTGGAATGCGGGGTGAGGGAGATGGGGCGTGGGGCGTTTATTTTACCGGCACTAAAAGGTCCATCAGGCGACGTGTACCAATTGGCAACGCGATCCGATGGAAGGGTCCCAGTGCGTGGCGGGCGAAGCGTTTAAATGCACCTGCCTGCCCTTCCAGCCATTTAATCACTATCCGTGTCATGAAACGCCATCGACCTGCACTCAAATATAAGCGCTTCGCTTTTCGGGTTCGGACATAAAATAAATCTGAAAAACAGTATCCGCGTCCTGCATACACCGGCCAGCTTTTTGGTTTCAGATCAACGAGCGGATGGAGCTGATTAACAACACGCCATTCCGACGGAACGATTTCGCGAGCGCGTTCCGAAAGATCGCCTCAATTACTGCAACCGCGCTTTGTTACGGCTGCGTGCATTCGGTTGGTCTGCAGTCGATCGCCGACGTCGGGGGAGATAAGCCACGCGAGTTCCTATGGTCGCACCTTCTGAGCCCAACGGTCTACTGATTTGGAGATAGGCTGCAGAATCGAAATTACAATAGAGACGATGAGTAATAGCCGACTTCCCGTTCACTATAGCGTGTCATGGTATCGAGGGTGGAGCGTTACACAAGCTGATAATTGTGATCCTACCTTATTATAATAGCTGTAATGAATAGAGCCACCCATTGTGGGACTCATCGCAAAGCAGCAAATGATATAAATCAGTGATTCAACGACCAAATCCAGTTCACGCTATACAATTTATACGTTATATTTACTTGTTGAATTTAGAAATTGTCGTTTATCAGTCTCAATTATAGGGGTACAATAGATTTTGGCAGATTTTGCGAAAAACGGTCAGGGCACATTTTTAATTGATTATTAATTTTAAAAACACGTTCATTTCATACCTTATCTAACAGGTAACGTATTTTCAATTAATTTGAGATGAAATTAATTTTGAAATCTCATTACATGTAAACTGAAATGTTTGAAAATAATAATATTTGTAACATTTGCTCGTAACTTAGTTGACGTATTTTTTCGTGCTGTGCGTTTCAGAAACTCCTCCATAACTTGGCGAAACCAACATCAGCATCAAAGAAAAAGGCCAGAAAGTGTATTTGACTTTGGAAAAACAAGCTGCCAGTTGGAAAACATTTTCATTAAAGTTTCTGTGACTTTCAGTGAGCAATTCTTTTATTTCTCATTCAGAACTTCGTTGTGAAAGGAAGTGACCATAACAGTATGAAGAAGCAGAAAATTAAAAGACGGTTTTTAACGTTTAGATCGAATAGTAACAAGTGCATACAGGATTGCTCAGGTCACATAATTTGAAACTTACTGTCTATAATCACACACACACAGCAATTATTTGAGATTTAATATTAAAGTGTTGCGGGGTAGAAATTCTATGATACGTGATTCTGACCGGGGGTGGAGTCTCATATAAATCATATAAACCAATTCTGAGTTCTCTATAATATTTATTATTACAGAAACGCGCAGTGACGTGTTCATTTTCAACACTTGCACAAATGAGTTCACTCATTGTTTGGAACTACGAACTGTTATGTATCTCACGCTACTAGCATATTTGAACTCTATTTAGTGTGAAAACAGTTGAATAATCTGGCGTTTAAATTGCTATTTACTAAGATTACGTTATTCCTTGTTTCTTCTGGGTCGCGCTCATTTAGCCCCATATGTCGCTCATTAAGGAAAATAAAATTTAGAAACATTCAGTATAAACGTATTTATTTTATGTTCATTTGTCATTGTTCATTGATAAATTATGTTATCTGTTTACAGTAAAATATATTTATGCTAAACTGGCAGAAAGATTATATTCAATGTGGTGAATACGAAGAATAAATATTTAAAAAAATAAGTCGTACATTTTTCACAAGAAATAAAATTAAGAAATAACTGTGCTATAATAGTTCAAACGTATTCACTAGTACACAAAGTTCAGCGTTATTATCTCGGCCAGAAAATACAACATTATTATCTCGGCTAACGCTCAATGAATTGTGAAAAATTGAAATTAAATGTTAGTATCGATCATTTGATAATCTCTTATTCGTAGATCATACGATAAGCTTTGGTAGTCATTTAGTGCTTCCACTGACTTTTCATTTCCAGAATAGTGACATTTATTCAAAAGAAACACTATTACGAAATCTACAAGTTCATCTAGAGAAACTTTCATCAGAATTGTCTTATTAATATAATGGTGCGTCGTGGGCCTCTTTCAACTTACTGAGTTCTTTATAATGCTTTGAAAGATATATTAATACATAAATACAGACTTTTGCAATACCCTGTCCTTAATATTATTTCATTTCAACATTCAAGCATATACAAATGTGTTCTGTGTCATTCCAAAGAAAAGCAAATAAACACAATACGTTCTCACCTTACCCTAACCTTACTAATATGCTTTTAACTTTCCTTGTATCTCTCCAGGAAGTGCATAGAATCACTGATCTTGGGCCTATTGTAACTTCATAACCTAATACCATGTGGAACGCATACCTATAAAGAGAAGTTTTATCAGGGGCGGGTCAAACCTCCTCTGTGGTCAAAAATTCTCCTACCAGTTAAGTTACTGTTTATCTTAGTTGTCTGATTGTTCCCAAAACCAAAGGATACCTTTTTCACTGAACGCGAGGTTTTCTTTCTATCTCGGGATAATATGACAATTCGCCTGGCCGGTGGAGAGCGAAGGAGCCAGTCGTGTTGGGCCCTCGTGGGTACTCACCTCGGAACCGCGCGCCCAGGCCACCACGACGCTGTTGCAGTTGTAGTAGATGTCGGGCAGGTTGGGCTGGTAGCAGGGTTGGCCCGCGTCGCGAGCGTGCACCTCCAGCTCGGGGTTCTCCATGCGGCCATCGCCCGAGCACTCGTACACGATCACGTGGTGCATGTAGCGCCGGCTGTCCGCCTCGTGCAAGGGCTCGTACTGCAACAAGAACGCGCCTCCGTCAACGCCCGCGCCCGCACCACCAAGCAGCAGCCAGAGGGTTGCGAACGCTCCCCAACCCGCGATGCGCCAGCAGGTCGCCGATCGCCAGGCGGAGCTCCGCGCTTGGAAACGCATGCATCCACCTCGGCCGGTTTTTAAACCCCACCAATACCCACTGGTGATGCGGTTTATGCGCCGGCATTACGCAATCACATTCGAATACAGTGAACATTGCTCGCCTTGGAGATCGATTCTAAGACGGGGAAATTAACTCTCCACAAATGGAACGGACGATGAATTTTATTGTTCGTTTCGACGACATATCAATATACAGAATGTCCCTTAATTATTCTGACAAAAAATATACGCTCTTGTCGTTATGTGAAGGGTTTTGGTACAGTTATTTTCCAGACGAAAATTTTTCTTCTCAAGAAAACTCGATGTCTTTCCTATTGTTATAAGAGAAGCACCAAAGAAGCCTAGATTTTTCACAAAGGAATATTTTTGCCGTGTAACGGATTGCACCACACATACTCATATAATAATAAAATATACAAGATTTTTTATCGGTGTAATTAAAAGACTTTACAATGTTCTACAAATGTTTAACATACATCGAGTAAATTAATAATCATGTATATGAAATTTAATAGTGCAGCACAATGACGAAAAATACGTACAGATGGCGTCCTTCTGAACGGCAGTAATCATGGTAACACACAGCAACAAGTTGGCGAGAAATGCACAATACGTTGTATTTCTACTGTACATAATTTGTACATATAATAATGATTTTTTATATATCATACTTTTATTTTAAAACCTATCGTTGTATTGAGTTAACATTAAAGAATTGCCAATTTAAATTGGGAGACCGACAAACATGAAATGTTCAAATCATACAGTGAAACTTGAGGGTTTCGTAGCTAGTTATTGTCAACAAAAATGATAAACACATCCGAAATCGCATCCACATGATAATATCGGTAACGACAAAATCTATAAATTATTCTAAGTGACACAATTCTGTTTACTGATCATTTTGTTGTTACAGAACGAATGTTATTCATTTATGGATCAATGAAGGAGTAATATTTTCAATGTGGTTTTCTTAAATCCATATGAAGATATAAATTTCATGTTAAAGCAAAAGTAAATGCACAGCATTAGAAAACGTACGTATATGTTCCAATATATAGTGGCCGGTACGTTTCGCGTTTTCTCGAATGCGAGTGTATGGTAGCTGGAAGTCAGGGAAGTATCGATTAGAATTTCTCGAGGCTTTCCGTGTTTTGATGCAACTCTTGTAAAATGTTGCAGGACAGAAGATATTGATTCAGAAGAAAGAGAAACAGCATATGTAGTTAACACTCATTTAATGACAATTTCTGAATAAGTATTGTAAGAACCAAACAATAATAGTCTATGAAGTATTACACAGTAACGTTGACTTCAATTTAAATATTAACTAGAAAATACTCGTAAATCGATTTACTTTGTTTTGTACAAAACTTGAAATATTATTCACCCCACAAACAAAATTATTAATAAGCGTATTATCGCAAGTGCTTCACAAATTAGACCCTAAGAGGCTTAACCGCGACTCCATTTCATTCACCGGTTCATGGATACGCTCTCGCACAGCTGTATACGCACAGCAACCACTGCTCTGCCATCCTTTGGCAAGAGGACTGCGTTTACGCTGTGTTCTGTTTGCGTAAGGAATACTGATGGACACTGTGGTCTCATTTGTACTTACGCTTCTCGATAATGTTCACATTAACCTGCAATGCAGCATTATCACGAGCGGAAAATACGATCCTACATCAGAAGAGCATCGAAAGTGAGACAAACAACTGTGCGTCAGAATTCATGACGATCGAAGGTTGAAATAATTTCGAGATGCGGCTGATGTTGCAGACAAATAAAAAAATGTTCAAATCCAAAATATTCAATAATATGTGTGCCGATCGGGATAGCCGAGGTGGCTACAGAGGAATTTGGTTCAAAGGGTTCTGATCAATAGTACACATGGGTATTTGTGACTTTATACGCATGTACTGTATGTATGTATGAACGCAGAGACCTAGAATCTCGTTAACTAAGGGAAACTTGTTTATCTATTCTCCTCAAAGGCAAAGTTCATGATAAATGATTCAAGAATATATATTAGTCTCTCACACGCTTTAACTGACCATTGAGAAAAACAATGATAGTGTATGCGACACTGGAATTCTGCATTCGAACAGCTGAAAAGAGTTCCTGTATCGATAAATCTATTCTTCGCGCAACGAACGTAGAAACAACAATGTAACATCGGACAGAATCGTGCATCTTTCCATTTTCACCAGCTTCGAATGCATTACAAATTAATGCCTTGAAACGTCAACTTGTTTTATTAAGCAACTGAAATCTGTACAATGGAAGGAAAATTGAACTCCGACAGAGTTGAACTTACGAAAACATTTTGTAATTGAGATCACATTTTAGGTGGCAAGTAATTCTCTTCAAACTATGGTACAGCATAGCACTCGTTAACGAAGTTACTCTGGCAATCTCAACCGGAAAATTGGAAGAGTTCAAGAAGTGAAGATACGACGGGCCACACCGGTTGCTTTGAAATTCATTGGAGGAAGTTGCTCCAACAATCTTCTCGTCGACTATATTCCTGATGTCCGTACTTGCGTCAAAACTCACTCTAAATGGCTGAAAAATGTAATGAAGTAAAGACATGTAATGTCTCTTAATAAATTTAATGTCACGCTTAGAGTGTTGCCTGTTCCACCTATTGATCTTTTGTCCTTTGTGGTCGGTCAACATCTCCTGTTCCTCGTGGGCTCAAATTATAACTCGTGAACTCTTTGAGGCATTTATTCTCATTACGTGCATAAGTTTTTTTTTATTATGCCTACGCACTTTTCCCCTGTTAGCACATATTTGAAAAATCATTTCTTGCACTGTCGTATTTTGTTCAATCTTAATTATTGAAGATCATTGATAATTTTTTCGGACCTTTCATTTTCTGTGGTAATTGTTGCCCAGGAGTGATGGTGAAATGAGTAATGAGCAGATGATAACAATAATGAATAATTAAGGAGAAATGGAATGAGAGGAAAGGGGAACAGGAGAACATGGAGCAAGATGGCAAGATTTTCATTTTATCCATCGCCAATTCCACCAGAGTTGGGCGAGGATTATACGATGCCCCAACCGACGGGAGGCGCATGCGCTAACCATTAGGCCACGAGCCCCTATGCTAAGGTGGCCAGATTTTAAAAATAAAAAAACGGGACATTGTGACATTTCGGTGACTAAACACGGCATAAAACGGGACACGTGCTGGCCCGTATTCCTCAATATTGTTTGCCATATCGCACTGAAACTCACGGAAGCAGTAGGTTCCGATTATTGTATTTCTCGGTAACGATATCGTTAGAGATAAAACATTTTTTAAGTGCCCCCTCCCAGAATTGAAATATCGGTTTCACATTCATGGGGCCGCGACATATGCCATATCGAATGGGGAATATCTATTTTGGAGAAAATCGGGTACAGTTTAGCCGCTAACGTTGTTCACAGACGGACGGACGGACGGACAGACAGACAGAAAGACGTTTTGCCGTCATTTGATTTTTCACTATAAAGAACCACGAAACATGGATTCTGGCTACACCACGTGTTGGAGGTTTTTTTTCCTAAATTTAGCAACTGGATTTATTCACTTCTTTGTTACCAATCCGAGTTTTACTGTAATACGAGTTTTTCCGCCAACAACTCGTCGTTTTTTGCGCAGCATTGCATAATCGCGCATTGCATTGCATCTCTCACTCCGTAAGAGAAAGTAAAAATACGGGAGAGAACCCCAAAAAGGAACTGTTCCCGTTAATACGGGATGTCTGGTCACCTTAACCTATGCTCCTTGTACCTTGTACATCCTGCTTCCTACATGCAGAATTGAATTTAACTCGTGTTTTGTCTTCTTCGATCTGTTCTTGATCGTAATCAACTTTCATCTCCATAAAAAATGGGAATTTACATTGTTTTATACTATTTCATCAATAAATCTTCATGTAGTTTCTTTCCAAATAAGGTTTTGAGAAGCCCTATATTGTTAATTAATTTTTCTATTTTATTTTATATATCAGTCTGTTAAAGGCTATATGCATTCAACCAATTTAAAAGACAGTTATGTTAAAGTAATATGTTATACGTGAAGAATCTAATTTCTTGCAGTTAGTATAATTCGAAAACAAGTTAATCTAGAAAGAAATGCTCAGAAGTTGGATGTGCACCGTATACAAATTCAGTAAAATAGTTCTATAAAATTATATTCTGATAGAAAAACATGATCATATATTTATATTTAAATAAATTTATATTTAACATTAATTTTCAGCCTTATATTTTCCATCGACATAGGATGTGACAGACAAAAATGAGACCTGTCAATCACAAAATAACGACATTGTCATGTCCCTGTAATCTATCGAAAATTCGTCAAATTCTCTTTTTCCATCGCATCTGTAGGTTAACAGTCAATGTGTAGAAAGTATCAATGCCACGTTTCACAAAGAGAACTCACCGCATTGCTTCAGGGATACAAAATAATCCATCACCGTCGTTCATACCTCAGGGTGTCGAGGATCGGCGACGCAGTCACCAGGTCCATCCTGGTGACAGCAACTCATTCTCCCAGATAACCCTTGTCGAAGCACCACTTGAAGCTTAATGAATTTTGAGCAGACACCACTCCATTTAACACTAAATTAGTTTTGGCATTTCATGATAATACTATATTCGCTGAATGACGCACTCGTGTCGCTCCAAAATACGTTTATATGACATTTTCAATTTGCTGCTGATGCTCATTTAAGATCGCACTCAATGCTATAAACGGTGTTTTGGAGAGTGCATACAATTCGTAGCAACACAGACATCGGAGTAATTTTGTTCATTGAGCCAATGCATTAGGCGTAAATGCAGCAATAATGCTTCTTTAGTTGAGTTTCCTATTAGGGAAAAGTTTTATGGCAAAAATAAAGATAGAAGACAATTTTCAAAGTGACAGAGAGTATTTCCTTACTCTCTATAAATTACGACAAGGTCATTCTTCACTCTGGAGCAAATTAAGAAGGAACGCGTTTAATTGGTATTGTGACATTTCTTGGAACTTCATTCCTCAGCAATGTAATTCAAACTGTTTCTACAAATTAAAGAGAAACAAACAAAGATTTCTACATGGTTTTGTTTTGAAACCCTAACTCTCGAATTGAATCAATGTAACTACAGAATGATGTGATAATCGAGTTTTATGAAACATTTCTAAATGTCAGATTCCATTCACAATTTTCACATGATATCATTATTTCTCGAAATAAATAAATAAATCAGAAGTATAGGTGATAATGAAATGAGGCCGGTGTTATTGTAATGAGAATTTAATTCGCATTACTGATTAAACATTCGCAATTCAATACTCCACAGAAAACCGAAGTACTTATCTCAACATCGTCCTTTATTAACATTTCTAATTGTTTGGTTGAATGGATAAAATAATATTTTACAGTACTATATGGAAATGTAGGTTATTGACCATAAACATCGGATATTTAGGCAAATGTCTATTTTTTTACGCTTTGACGTAGACAAAATTAATAATATACTCGTTCCATAATTTTTCGATATCCCAGGAATCATATTTAAAATGACTACAATATCTATTTCTGCGTTAGATTCTTAAAATGCCTATTCGTTCGCTAATTACCTGAATTTTTTTATTAAATTGGCTATTCACAAGCTTGTTCGTAGTCGAGTTACCTTAAGGAGAAAGAATTCATCCTTTGAATATCATCGCCAGCAGTTTCAGCGTTTCATATAGCTAGCGATTGTCTCAAAGTACAATCACCTTACTCATCTAGATTACTTAAAAAATACTCACGAAATGGGCATTTATGTTAACCTCGAGAAGAGATGTCACAAATTTCGATGAGCCATTCGACCAATTTACATTTCACTGGATTATCGTGGCTTCGCTCGGAGAAAAGTCGAGGACGACACAATCAGTTTACTAAAAATTACCTCGAAAATTAAACTTTTGTACTAAACACAAGTGTACAAGTAGAAATATCATTTTCTGCTAATATTTTTTGTTGATAAAAGACAGATTTAGAAGATATTTTCATTGTAGATTGTGAGGAAGATTTAGAGATTTGGTATTGATTGATTGTTTCCGAGCACAACTACCATATTCATTAGTACCGTTGGATGTTGAGATCCGGCGCCGACATACATGTAGGTTTCTGGGTGATTTTTCCTTCCAGGCGTCTCTGCAAGTGGGGCACCTGCCCAGCAGGGATTACCTCAAAATTCCCAATTGTTATCCTGCCAAGTGTGATAGTGCAGTGTACGTGTATATGTGTGAAGGAAAATGATAGGAAAAGAAGAGGAAGGTAATAGCACGCGCGGTTTGTGGTCAGTTTGTGAGGGTATTCTTCTGGTATACGCTCCAGAGACAGTGACACCACTCGCTCTGAACTCAAGCTATCGGTGAGATAAATGTATTTCATTACATATATCTTTGTATATCTCTATTTACTATAACTGTTTTACCATTTGCATCTTCATTTTGAAAAATCATTCAAACTAATATATCTCTAATAAAATATTTTTTTCAAAAAGTAATTTTCGTGTCCATTTATACTGGCATTTAATAAATTATACCGTGTATTGTCGCCTTTTAAGAGCCTGTTTTAGGTCCCTAAATGGCGTAATTTAGAGCCTACAAATCGGAAATATATTGAGCACATTCATAACACCATATCATAAAGGAAGAAATCACTTCGCAAGGATAAGTAGTTATAAATAGATTAATTGAACATTAGAGGAACAATAAAAATAATATTATATTTGAAATATTTATAAGATGAATTTCAGCAAATTACTCATTATTTTCATTGAAACTGTAAATAACAAAACACTCTCGAGTCACGAAAAAGAATTCAAATAATGTGTTATCAAATGATTTTAAGTCTCCCGTTTTCAGTAATAAATAATATATATTGATAGTTAATTTCATACAATAGAAACGCTACACATTATATGCACAACATGTACTATATTTTCCACAGCTTGAAGAAAAGCTGCCTACCAAGTTGATAGGAAGAACAGAACATATAGTTTGCTTGACGGTGAGGCCCAACAATGCATAAGAATGACTTCCTCACAAAATGTGTTTCTGCGGATCCTGCATCTCGCGTTCATGCCAACTGAACTGAGTGTCTGGCGAGCGAGAAGCGTCGACGCGCGGTTTGAGCAGAGCTGGTGGGGTGGGGCCGGCACAGGGACGGGTCGGATCGAACGTGGTGCTGGTAGGGGGCATGTCGTGCCTTCACATCGCGTGGTGAACAGCGCGCGCACGGCCGCGCTTCGATCGCGCACACGCTCGTGAACGCCCCCTCCCCCGCTCCCGCGGCCAGCACGCCCCCCACCCACGCGCCGTTTCCCAGTAGCACCTCCGCAGCCAAAGGGTCGGAGCCCCCGCGGCCCAGCAAGCCCCGCTCGGTCGCCGCGCCCTTCTCGGTCCGACGCTCGCGTTGCTACTCCCTCGCTGCCCGCACACCTTTCCGGCCGGTTGCAACTCTTTCCAACACTGAACTTCGCACTCCAACTCTCTCCACCGTTTCGTTTCCTATGAATTTGTCTCACTACCTCCACCTCTGCTATATCTTTTCTTCCCGCCTCAAATCTCTCATCTCTCTTCCCCTCCGCACCACCCAGCAACACGACACAGTCGTTCAACATTATTAAACGTATACGCTCTCACTTTTTACCACCCTAGTCTTGCCCTAGTCTCACAGGCGTTCTGATTACTTCCTATCAGGCATGATCGCTCTGGCGGGATGCTCCAGTTTCCCGTCACTTCTTTCTCGTGGCGGAGTGACGCCGAGTTTTGACGCGGTGGCTAATACGTGCCCCCGCCGGTCTGAATCGATCTGAACGCGGGAGCCTAAGAATGCATACGTCACAGATCATTTCGTATACGTATGTATTCTGGCTTTCTGGCTGAACACTCGGTTGGTCCACAGATGGCATCCTGTATTCGTGCCCGGTAGTACACCCACACATAGACCGGCCTAGTTGCCCCGCGGCGATGGTGTAACGGTTAGCGTACTGACTTTTTACCCAGTTGGCGCGGTTCAAACCGCATCGAAGCCGTGGGATTTTTAAGGGCGAAAAAATCCTCGGGTACGCCTGTCCTTCGGAGGGAAGTAAAGCCGCGGTGTCCCATGTTCGTATTACTTGCATTGTAAAAATCTCACAAGCCTAAATGACCCTCTGGAGCTAAATTGCAAATTCGCCTTCTCGCCAAGAAATACCTCTTTCTCTCCTAGTTGTGAAAGAGCGTAGGCGAAATTGTGTGAGTCAACGGGAAGAGCGGCCTGATGGCTCGAGACTCTCGCCACGTAAAATAAGGCAACATTCAATTCAAAGATCCCTCCCAGATCCCTCCTGACGCTGTGTGAGAAAGTCTATCATTTCCAGCACTAATCCCCCACTAAGATTGTGGGTAGAGTTATTTTAACACATCCCCGTTGTGGCGTTATCCAGATGACAATCAGAGGAGGTCTGGTGCGCTCCCGAGGATTAGAATAGAGAGGGCATAAAGTAAGGAGTCGGAGTTGATGGGGAGAAGTGATTGAAGTAGTGCGATAAGTCCCCAGTATCTAGAAAGAAATGAAACAAAACCAAGTTCTGCGAGAATTTTACGTATTTTACCACGATATTAGTTACTTAGTGCTTTCAATTTACATGTTCATAGTCTCGGTTTTCTTCTTATATAGTCGTAGATAAAGAAGAAATATATCAAAATACAATTTTTGAGCCAGCTGTATATAAATCACTCGGTTTTCTTGAAAAGACTGCAAAAATGAAATTTGAAGATGTTTCCAATTTTTTTCTATACATTTTCAATAGCGAGGCAAATTGCTTGGAAATCCTGGACATTGTACTCCATCCTTCTCAGTTTTGTTCGCAAGTGATTGGTTCCAAGAATTAACGTTTGCCGTTAATCGCAAGTTGTGCGCGGACGCGAGTTGCATCGCTCGTTGAGCGTTCCATAACGCCATGCCTCTTCTTTCCGCGAGAGCTTCCCAAACCAGGGAAGACGTGCCCAGCGGGCGAAGGAAAGCAGGCTTCGCGAGGCGCGACGGCGCGGTCAGCGCGTGTCCGCGACTATGCGCGCGAGCCGCCGCGGCGCGGGACCGGGGCTTGCGCGCGCTGAGCGGGCGGGAGGGCGGCGGAGCCAGAATAGAGCCGGTATTCGGCCTCGCGTGGTGAGGTCGGAAGCCGGCCGGGCTGACCCCTCGAATTTCCAGTGTGTGAATATTTCAGGCGGATACGTGACGCGTCGCGTCCGCGGCGGCGGCGCGGACATGGGGCCCTCCCCGAGGCGGTCCGGGTGGGGATCGGAACGCCGCGCGCGCGGGGCGCATGGCGGTGACGCGGACGGCGCCAGCGGTGGTGGAGGTGGCGGCGTGGCGGGGTCTCAACGCGTGAAGGCGCACTTGGCGACTCGTTGGTTCGGTTTGTGTGTTATATTTAGTGACGGAGTATCAATCTATTGGCTACTGGTAAATCTATGCATTTACAAACCTCTGGTTCGCTACACTCGCCTTATCACTAGGAAGCG